AAGAAGATAGAAGCTTGAAATAGTACAAACTTTTATTTTAGAATTTCGTGATTGTTTATACTTATCCTTATTTTATTCATAGTCAATCTTTTTTTCGAGTAAAGAGTTCAAAAATGTTTACAAGTAGCTGCTTTATTCTGATCTGTTACATTCAAGAATTTTCAGCAGCTATTTTTGAATTACATAATCACTTTCATGTTATTAATAATATCTTCGTTATATTTTAATGGATGAAAACTATTATTAATAATTAATATGGATCGTCTTTTGATCCATTCCATATATAAAAATCATTATTAAAAGAAAACACATTTCTATATTAGAAAAGAAAATTAAATTTAATTACTTAAATATTATACTTCATTAGTGATTTTTTATATTTTAATAAAAGAAAATGTTCAATATCAATACTGTGTACGAAGAAAAAAGACATTGTTATTAGAATTTAAAAACATGACAATATAAAGAGTTAGTTCAAGAACTTTATATACTCACATATACAAATAGCATATTACATAATTTATGAATGAGGGAATTAGAATATGTATTGATGATAAATAAATACATAAAACGAAATATATGGAAAGCATATATTTAAGAAAAAGATTATTATTTACTTATGTATTATCATGACGTATATTATAACTTATGCATTAGTGTCTAAATAATTAAATAAGAAATCTTAATTATAACCTAAATAACATATGCAATCAACAAATTATAAAGAAAGATCGTAAAAAGAAAGAAATTTGTAAGAACAAACCATCAACAAAAACTATTATATAAGATGAGCTCTTACGTCTTAATATATTGAGGAACAATAAACATTAATAAATTTTGGTGATTCAATGAGAACTTATTTATTGATGTCAAGATAATTAAAAATTTGTATAAATCTACAAAAATGATTAGATTAAATTTTAATTAGATACATATGATTATTTTTTATTTATTTATGTATGATATGTTATCTCAGTAGTCATTGAGTTATTGCATACAAAGTTGCGCTTCTTTCTTTTCCTAGAAACGTCTGAAATAATCGCTATAAAACTGTTGAGCAGGAATTAAAATACGTTAAGTGAATACATAATTTTGCGTCTGATCAGAGAATCAAAAATCAAATAATGACAGAGTGATACATCCAAAAAAAAGGCAAGAACTAGAAACGAAGTAGCTCGACCAAGAGGAGAAGAACGAAGCACGAAACTTACAACAATTTATTCGTACACGTTCGACTTGCATGTGTTAAGCATATATCTAGTGTTTCTTCATAGATCTCTGAATTTCACTTTAACCCAATAATTTTCTTTATATAAGAAAACTTGTATCCTCGTACTGCAAGATTGAGTTTTACTTATGTATGTGTTTGTTATAATTATTAGCGACAGCAGTTGCATTGAGAATGAGATAGAGTATGGAAAAATAGAGAAACTTAAGATAGAGATATATCAACAATAAAAATAATGCAGTTGTTGAAGAAGATTTAAGATTGGTATTTCTTATCAAGATCGATTAAAGCTTTATTTAATAAAAAAGTAACTGAGTAAATTGATTCTAACTATGAATAAAAATAAAAAAGACAATATTCAATTTTGCTTTGATAACTTACTGCATCGAGCAAATTGGTGGCAATTATTTCTTTTGTTATTAAATAAATACTAATATTAAAAAATTATTGTGTTATAAACTTGTAGTGTATTGCCTATATAGTATCTAATTTTTCGATAGATGTATATGAGAGATGTAATAGATATTTATGTAGAATAATATGAATCTTATTAAAATAAGATAATAGGTCAAATAGTTATATGAATAATAAAATACAAATTTATGTGAATAATCAAGATAAATCCTTATTGATCTTTTAGGGCATTCAAATATTCTAAAAAATAGCTTACATTGAAGTGTCATAATACTACACTACATCATATGAGATTAGTGACTTTGGGTTGAATTTCATAATGTAACCTTTCCAAAATCATTGGTGACATTATGCTCCTTTATTTCCATTATTTTGTGTAGAATGTTAACTTAAATTATTTTATTTTATTTTATTTTTGTAAAAGGTTTAATTCTTTATTTGTTCATTATTGTACTTTTGTTATGTCTTTTTCTCTCCAATAGTTGTAACTTTTTTGAGTTAATCAATATAACTTTTTTGAGTTAATCAATATGGTAAAAAATGATTGAGTGCAACTTCTCACATTGAATGATTATAACTTAAAGGGAATGACTTATTAACAAATACATACATTTTACAGAAATTTTGAATTCTCTCTTGTTATCGCTTCAGAATTCTTTGATTCTTTTTTCGAATTACCAAAGCATAAATTTAGTTAGCAATCAACATATGTATTTGTTAGAAATGGTAATAGGGTGGATTGGAGTGAGTGAAATTTGCAATTATACAACCCATAATCTTATTTATTATTAAGGTGCGGATATCTCGCTCTCTTTAAAGATATTCAAGTCCACTGCATCAAATGTTATTTCACCAATTCAACAGTAGTCCTTCTTGACCTTGTCCCCTCCGGCCTCCCGGATACAATATCTCAATCACAAAAAATAACTCAACATTTCTGGATAAGAGTCGAGTCCAAAGCTCTACAGAAAAAAAACAACTCCCTTCAACTAATAAAAATTTTCTTTTTGACAAACTTTATGCACTCTATATTTTCTTGTGTATTATGTGTTTCAAATCAAATGAAAACTATTTCTATTTATACTAGAAGAAGTCTTTCGAGCAATATTGAATAAAGTGGTAATGATGTAGTAAATAGTGAAAATAAATGATCTAGAGATTATATATATAACGTAAATCATAATGTATGATGGAGAAATAAAGAATGAAAATCTTCTTTATGATTTTACATCATTTTATTTTTTATCTCTCTTCTTTTAAGAAATTTCACTACCAAGTGTAGAGATTATTGAATTTTGAACATGTAATGTTACAATCAACACGATAATATATTAGGAGTCTTATTAAAGGTCCCTTCACGTGTAATCATCTCAATTTTTTGATTGACTGATTTTGACATAATTTTTTGTTTAGGATCTTACAAATATTTTTTATTTATTTACTCAAGTATCTTATTGTTGAGATTAACTCATACTAATTTCTTTTTTCCAAATTTATGATACATTGGCTAATGATTCTACCAACATTGGCTATGATCTCACTTGAGACTTCAATACCTCTCTATTCACATTAACTCTCTACCAACTAAATCCTCTTATACCCATTGGATTATGTAAATGTTGCTCCCTTTATGTAACAGTAAGTATTATATAATATAAAATTTGTTAGACAAAAAAAATCTATTTAATTGTGTCTAGTTTAATGGATATTTTATACATTTTTAAGAAAGTCTAAAGCCAAAAGAGTGAGCTATTTAGATTTTTTAACTTTAAATTATGACCCTTTAAACATCATTTTTGATGTGTGATTCTTATAACGTAAATTTTAGGTCATAATACATAAATATGATTCTTAACTTGGCTTCAATTGACAATTATGATCTTTTATTTTGGACGTATACAAGTAGACATTTAAACTTGTAGAGAATTAAACAAATAGACACACGTAGGACACATGTGCCTGTCGTTCGATTTTATGTAATAACAACTGTCTACTTGTACACACTCAAAATTTGATAACATAGTTATATGTTGAAGTCAAAATAAATGACATGTTTATGTATTAGGCCTAAATTTTATATTTAACCTAAAGATGTGCTCATTTTGGACCAGTGCATAAGGATCAAATTTTTTTCACATAGACAACTAATTAAACACGATAATTGATATCTAAATGTTGTATTTTACTTTTTATGTCATAATTTATGTTAGTATTATTCGTTTTTCAAGAACCTACTTAATTAATTTATTTTTGAAATCAAATTAATTAAATTACTTTAGTTTTTTTTAAAATCCAAAATATATATATATTCAAAACAATTCTTATTATATTTACTCCTTTGATCTTACTTTATAATTTTAGGAAAAGGGTCGAAAATATATTTGAATTATGATCTAAATTATTGTAACAATTTTAAATCTTAAGCAGGACTTATTATTTCCATCTTTTTTAATAATGTATTTTAAAGATATATAAATGTAGATAAGTTACTATTTATAATGACATAATATTTATGATATTCACGTGGACATTTATATATCTTTAAAATACATTTAATATAAAGGATAATAGGTCCTTTCTAAACTTTAAAATTATTATTAATAATTTTAATCAAATTTCAAATATATTTCGAACTCTTTTACCGACATCATATACCAAGGAGGAGGAATCGTGTAAGAATAGAATCACTCTATTTCCATAAAATATGAGCATGTTCACACACTTAAAATATCTATTATCGTCCATCAATATACTGAATATGGTATAATTTGTACAAATAGGGACTATATTACTCAACTAGACCATAAGAAAAGCAAATAATGTTCTTTATAAATATTTGGTTTTTTTTTTAATCTTTTACTAAAAAATAAAACAAAAAGCACATGGCTGTTTTAGAAAGAGACATGATAGTTGAGCTCAATACCCTTATCTATTTTGGTGAGGAAGTCGGCAAAAGTAACCATAGTTGTAATTTTGTTTTTATTATTACTTCTTTGAATGGACCTAAGTTGTTGGACCATTAATTCTTTTTCTTTTTTAAACTATGTTTTTCTTATAAAAAAATAATTTTTAATCTCAATTTGATCATTTCAAAATAGTCTATACATTTGTAAAATAAAAAATATTTCATTATAATACGAGTTTAGTCTAACTCAATAATAATCGATAGTGTGATAAATTAAGGAAAGAGTAAATGTGAAATGAACGAAGAGAAATTAATTTTTAGTATAAAAACAAAAAATGTCTGGCTGGAGAAGAGTTGCATGGATGACATGTAAGTCATGTAGTTTTTATTTTTGGACAAAACATATCTTGTTTTATTATTTAAGGCAATTTTACTTCATTTACTTTGCACTATTTTATTATATTTCCCACTCATCTATTTATTATTATCATAGCATATTCCTCTCCATTTTATTTTTCTAATATAACAACAACAATGGCATTGTTCAACAAAGATGCAAAGAGTTTTATAAAATTAATTTCAATAATTTGTTTCCTACAAATATCAGCTCTAAATGGACAACTTAGAGTTGGGTTTTATTCTGAAAGTTGTCATAATGTAGAGTCCATTGTTAGTTCTATGGTTAAAGAAGCTTCACAAAGAGAACCAAGAATGCCAGCCATCTTACTACGACTTCATTTCCATGATTGCTTTGTTCAGGTTCTTTCTTATGTTTTAAAAACTAATTTTTAGTATGTCAATTTTAACTCTTTCTGATTTTCATGTTGATTGGAAAATGGATTCATATTTTGCTGACATGGTCTTGGATAATTTTTGTACTGAGTTAGACATAAGTGTCATATCTAAGCCAAGATTCATTTTTGTTTGACTTTTGGTCCACACTTCAATAGGTCTGGGCATGAAAGATGTCAGAGTGATTTAGACTTATAGTTTTGTTTATATATTATGTATTTTGAATCGTTCCTTTTTATGCGTTGATATATAAGGTTGAGTTAGACCTAACTATCATATCTTATATATAGTATTGGAGTCTAGCCGATTCCTATTTTGACTACATACTAGTTCATACTTCAGTGTGTTGGAATTTCAAGCTATTAAAAAATAGATCGATGATTTGCTTATATAGAATTGAATATTTTTTCTTTCTGAGCTCTTTTTTGGTTGAGTTAGAAATAAATTGATTATAATAATTTATACTATTATTTGTACCAAGAACCTTAATTCTTCTTTTTGAAATGTGTTAGAAGGGTTGTGATGGATCAATTTTGATCGATAATGTTAAAGAAGCTGAAAAAAATGCATTTGGTCATGAAGGACTTGGAGGATTTGCTGAGATTCAGAAAGCCAAAACTCAATTGGAAGTTCAATGTCCTGGTGTTGTATCTTGTGCTGATATTGTCGCTTTAGCGGCTAGAGACGCTGTCGTCATGGTAATACTATAGTACTATTTTAAAATTTTTTATGCATATATATTTTTTTGTGTGAGTTTTTTTTTTAATTTTGTAACAAAATTTCTAACTCCGTCAGGCTGGCGGAGAATCTTATGAAGTAGAGACAGGTAGAAGAGATGGAAGAGTATCAGATTTGTCATTTGCATCCAAAATGCCAGATGTGGATGACTCAATTGAAGTTCTCAAAGAAAAATTCAAAACCAAAGGCTTTAGTGAGAAGGATCTCGTCACTTTGAGTGGTATGTATGATGATCATATAATTTTTCATCGTTAACTAAAGATCTTGAATTTAAATTCTAAGAATCAATCAAAAAATAACTTTTGATAGAAAGTGTTTCCTTTTTTAATAAATCTTACGTGATACAAATCTGAATTAGCCAATTCATGCTAGAATAAATATATTTGACCAAGACTAATAGTGCTTTACTGAAAAGGACAACATTACTATAATATATTTAACGTAACGGACCACTTTGACACTAACATTTTGTTTTCTAGCTACAACAATGTCATACATTTTTGTCACTTTATTATGATAACTTTTAACATATTAAAGTTTAAACGTCTTTCATAATTTAAGACTCTGCCTTTATTCCTGGTTCTACCTCTAATCCTGGCTCTGCCTCGATCTGTTTTAAACATCTTGTAGGGGCACATACAATTGGCACAACAGCTTGTTTTTTCATGCCTAAAAGACTATACAATTTTACTGGAAAATCAGATGCAGATCCAAGTATAAATCCTAAATTCCTCTCAGAATTAAGAAGCAAATGTCCCAAAAATGGGGACGTAAACGTTCGAATATCGCTCGATAACCTAAGTGAAAGAAAATTTGATGATCAAATAATGCACAACATAAAGAATGGATTTGCAGTTATAGCATCAGATGCAAGGCTTTATGATGATAATGCTACAAGAGCAGTGGTTGATTCTTATCTTGAGATTACAGAGAAATTAAATCCCAATTCATCTTCATTTGGGACTGATTTTGGTTTAGCAATGGTTAAATTGGGAAGGCTTGAGGTTAAGACTGGATTACTAGGAGAGATTAGAAAGGTTTGTAATTCTTTTAATAAAATGTAGTTTATAAAGTTGTGATATTACTTAATTAAGGTTGGAGGTCATATATTATAAGTAGTAATACATTTTAATTAGTATTAAAAGAATGTTAATCTTGAAGTTACTCCTTTCTTGACCGTCATATTAAAATAGTTCTCTCATATTACTTGTCCACATTAATTAATTCTTTTTACATAAAATTTCCAATTTTTTTTAAAAGATAAATTATGCGTGTTTAAAGCAAAGCGATCAACTAATATGAGACAATATTGTTTATATGCTTGGTGATGCATTAATCTTAGACGCTAACATAATGGTTATTGAAGAAATAAAATGCATACTTAAGAAGCCAATCATTTTGGCACGAAAGAGGCAAATAAATAAATGAAAATTTGAGCATAGCTTAATAACACGGTATAAAATTTTAAAACACGTTCGTAATATCATTGAGGTACTACACCACTAGTACATCAAGTATTTTAATTAATAAAAAAAGAATGTAAAATAATTAAATTATGTGTATTGAAGTTAGATTATATAGGTTTAAGTTATTAGTGATTTTTTAAACTTATCTGTGTATTTTACTTAAATATTCAATCAAATCTTATATTTATTGAATACTTTAAAATTGTTTCTATTAAATATTTTTTTAATAATCATGTAAAGTGTGTACAATAACAGATTCAAGATTTGAAGGTTACGAATAATCCTTTTCTTTAATGTAAAATTGCTTGCTTAGAAGGGTTTCCTTCTATTATTACTAATATTTTATAGTTTAGTTAGTAAATGAGATATTAAAAATAAAAAAGTGCAAATGGAATATATCGAAAAGAAAAAAAATTAAACAAATAGTAATAAAAGGTATATTTAAAAAGAAGTAAAAATGTAAGGGAAAAAATTCAGTTTACCTTTTCCTCGTTTAAAAAAATAACTAATTTTATCCAAATTCAAATCCTCACACTCAAGATCGTGCACGCTTTAACTCAAACCCTCACACTCAAGATCATGCACGCTTTAACTTCAGCACACTCATCATATCCTTTGGTTGATGTGTGCTTACGAATAGAATATATCAAATTTTCAATATTTTATATGTACATATAAATTTTCATCGCATTATTGGACGTTCAAGCACTCTATATGTGGGTTCGCTCTTGTACACTCACGTGACATAATAATAATTTTTTGGTTATAAATCTGTAATGTCAAAGTACTTTGCTAATCATAGATTGTGCTCTAGTATTATTGATAAAATCCATCTCTTTTTGTAATCGCCTTCACATCCTTACTTTTCTTATTGCATTCGTTCCTTTCTATTCATATATTATGAATTATTTCAGTGTACACCAAAAAGTTGAGCTTTTAACCTTTATCTTTTGGTTTTTATCACAACTTCAATAATCTAGTTCTTCCAATCACTTGTTACTAGTGATGTTTTCTTTGAGCCAAGAGCAGATTTTAGTCCACAAGGTACATCGAACAAAAAAGTGAACTCCAATTTCAAAACAAGCATTGTGAAAATCACAATTAGATTCAACATTCACGCCATTTTCAATAGCCTATACTTCATAAGTAATCTATTTTACATGTGAATACAACCACACGAAGAATATACCTATAGGCTTAGCCTCATTTATGTATATTATGACCTTCCATGGTATTTTTCCTATAACCTTCAATAATTATAGATAAACTTGTCGTATAATGTTGTGCTCTACCTTAAAAGGTAGTTCTATTGTTTTTCAAATTATATGAGTTGCAATAATTGTATTGATCATCCAACTTGCTTGTTGCGACAAATGGTTAGCCTTTGACACGATAGTAATTAAAAGATGACAAGTGTCATTGACGTTCAACTTTAATAAGCTATCAATAATTTATATCGATTTTTTTTTTATAATTGTATCATTAATTCATATTAATTTACACCATTTCATATTACTTATCCTCGTTGACGATAAAACACTTGACACTAGTTATCCTTACAAAAATTCAAATAAATAAAATATTTTCTAGTTAATCATATTATTGATATTTTAAAACTTTAATTTAATAATTATTTAATACTAACAATAATATAAAAATTGAAGTCTTTTAATTTGCATTTCCATCTTCTTCTTCATTGCGTTTACACTTAAACACTCACCTCACTGCTCTGTTCTGCTCAGTAGCAACAACAACAATGGCAACCATACACAGCAGCAAGACCAGACCTTTCCCTTCACACCACACAGTAACCCCGTGCACTCGCACCCACCAGATCGGCGCTCTAGCTCTCGTCATCATCACTTTCTTCCTCACCAGAATCTTCGACCAGTCACTCAATTCCTCTTCCTTCTCAATCCCTACTTCTGGACAATACAGATCCAAGAACGACGTCATACGCTTCTCCGATTCCGGTGGGTCCATCTTTTGGCCACAACGCGGGTATGGGACCCATCTTTCACTGAAGATTTATGTGTATGATGAGAATGAAATTGATGGGTTAAAACACTTGTTGTATGGCCGTGATCGGAAGATTTCGCCTGATTCTTGCGTTAAAGGTCAATGGGGTACTCAGGTAATATTTTTTCCCAATTTTTCCAGTATTATGAGAAACTTGTTCAAGTTAAATTGACAGGAATTAGCGAATTGCTGTTAGTTTTTGTGAATATTGTTCTTCCTATCAGATTGGATTTGGGAAATGTTAGATTTTTTTTAGGATAATCAAGTATTTTAGTGTAATGTAGTAGAAGTTAATCATTATATGGTTGCGATTTTGGTTATCAAGAACTTGGTTGAATTTGTGTTGGTAGACCAGATCAATAGCAGCTCCACACATTGATTTTTTGCAACTTCTAGCATATGGAGCTCGCTAACATCCACATATTAGTGAGAAAATGGCGAATCATCAAGGAAGTTATCGTTTTGTTTTAATCATGTATTTGCTGTCTTGGATGAAGATGCTTTAGAGTAGTTATGATTTTGAGGGCATGATTTGAAATTAGTTGTTACAATGTAGATGTGGTTATTGTAAGCTAGTAGCAAAACTAGGTAGCGTGAAGTAACTTCTAGCATATGGACCTCGCTAACATCCACATATTATCAAGAGCCTGCATTTTGCCCGTTTATCGAAGTCTAATTTTTGTCAAACATTACTTTTTCCATGTCTAACAATGAGGATTAATATTATCTTTTTGAGGCTGGTAACATTAGTCTAGAGATATCCACAGGTATACAACAACCAAAAGTGTAGTTCCCCTTCAAAAAAAGTATACATCTTATAAAATAATCAGACCTATAAACAATCTAGTACATCAATTATGTCTTCTGTTCTAGCTAAAATATCTTGTTTACACCAAATATAGAAAAGAGCTAAGCAATTCATCCTAATCTTCCGAAGGCTATTCTGCACATTTTCAAAGCTCCTATTGTTCCTCTCTTTCCAAATTGTCCACCAAATACATGTTGGGACAATCTTCCATCTGACCTTCTCCTTTGAAGCATTGCCACCAAATGCATAAGGGTTAACATCTAAGAGTCAAAGTGGTGTGAAGTTGTTGTACAATTTGTAACTCTCTTCTTTTCGAATTATAAGTCGTTGTTGCAAAGAAAGGGAAATTGAAGAAGGAGAAACAGAAAAGGATCTTAAGGGAATATATCTGTTTTCTTCATTTGCTTAAGTGACATCTGAGGAACTATCAAGGAAAAGCACATTTGTCCTTCTACTTGTGAAGCGACTTGAAGTCCTTCCTTGTAGTTCTCTATCTTCATTTGAGAATTACTTGTAAATTTTCTTGACTATTTGAGATCATGTGCAACATTTCTACTCCAAATCTACTCCGGCTGTGGAGAAAAATCTGGAAAACCAAAGCTCCTTAAAAGGTTTATTGTTCTGTCTAGTTAGTTGCAAAGGAGGCCTGCCTAATCCAATACAATCTCCAAAAGAGAGGCTACCAAATGTGCAGAAGATAACCACTTTGTGAAGGTTAAGTGGAAGACAAGCGTCTCTTCTTGCACTGTCACTTCACACATCAAATGTGACCACTCTTCTTCAATACCTTTACATTAAAACCAATCGTCGACTTTCTGAAGATTTGGCACAGTAAAAAGACCTCAGCGAGGCAACATCAGTATTTGGCATTCCATCCCAGCTGCTATATGGTGGACTCATTAGAGGGAATCAGGGAAAGAAACCATACAGTTTTTGAAGGCAAATTTGAAAATGTCATTACCCTTAAGCATAGTTGTATACTTTTGCTTCACTTTTGGTGCAAGTTGGCATTGTAAATGATGCCGAAGCCATTCTGCGTTTCTTCAGAACTTTACATTATATGTGACTGCATCCTCTGCTTAGTCTCCAAATCATCACTTTCTTACTGATGGAATAATTTGTTCTTTACTTGTCAGAAAAAGTTTCCTATCTTTATTTTTTGGAACTGGTAACTTGGATGTATAAATAAACAAAACAGTACATGTGTTGTACTTTAACTATATTTTTTGAGATTCTAAGGAATTAGATGGTACCTAGAACATTAACTATATCAACAGAATCCTCAGAATAAGTCTGTTTACACAAACAAAAAAGCAGAAGGCAATTCTATTTGATCTTTTGCACTGAGTTAATCAAAACACCTGGAATTCCTTTCTTTCCAGACTGTCCACCAAATGCTTGCAGGGACATTTCTCCATCTACTCCTGTCTTCTGCCTGAACTCCCGCATTCTCTCAACTATGTAAAACTTCAGTGACCTTTTCGTGCATTATCCGTTTGATCTTCGGTTGAAAGTGATATCCCATCCATGCTCTGTCCTTATTTCTTCTATGGTCTTATGTTGAAGCACCACTAAGTTGAATATGTCTGGGAATCTCTCAAGAAGACTAGTTCTCTATCTTTATTTGGTAATCAATAAAGAGGTTTTAATATTTTCTTCCTTTTATTTATTTTCTTTATTTCATTTCCTTAACTTCAAAAGCTTTAGTGACAAAGATGACTCGTTGTGTCAATAAATTTCTCCGTCTATGCAGGGTATTGCTAGAATTTACTCTCCACTTTTTTCTTCAAACTATAAATCTGAGTATTTTTATTTTGGCTCTTTTTCTCGAGGGAAACATAAGTAAAGCCTGCAAGTATTACATTGTTGCC